AAAGAATCCTCACTTTTGTATCATTTTCATTATAGTAAATTCACCATTTACACAAGAAAAATTTGTTTTCTCTCTCTCAAGTTTTTAGAGTCTCTCTCTAGCTTTCTTCTTCCTCTCGTTGGTATGCCTTGAGGATGCCAAGACATCCCTTATTCATAAGCAGGGGATGGCTTGCGTCGCCTGCCATTTCTTCATTTGTTGCTTGCAATTTCTCAACATTCGGCGCCTAACTCTTTTACGGTGTGGCTTTTTTCAAATTGATACAGCTGTTTCTTATTTAATAATAAATGCTGCAATTGGGTTGGACCCCCACCAATCTCCCCTTCCAGACCCATGCTTCTAGGAGGACATCATTGTCATAGTTCTAACTAGAACTTATTCCGACAAGTTCATTGCACATTTCGAACATGCCACGAGAAATCACTTTAGTCATCATATCTGAAGGGTTTCTATCAGTGGAGATCTTTTTCAGCCAAAATGACTTATCTTCCACTTACTCTCTTATCCAATGGTATCGCACATCGATATGCTTTGATCGAGAGTGATACATAGAGTTTTTGCTCAAGTCTATTGCACTTTGACTATCACAATAGACTACATACTTCTTTTAGTGCAGACCAATCTCTTGAAGAAATCTCTTCAATCAAATCATTTGTTTCCCTACTTCTGTAGTAGCAATGTACTCAGCTTCAGTTGTTGATAGTGCAACACACTTTTACAACTTTGACTACCATGATATAGCTCCCACTGAAAATGTAAGTACAAACCCAGAAGTGGAATTTTTGTGATCAAGATCATCTATCATATTAACATTTGTAAAACCTTCTAAGATTGCATCTGACTCTCTAAAGTATAGACACATCTTTGACGTACCCTTCAGATATCTGAGTATCCACTTTACAACTCCCAATGTTCTTTTCTTGGGTTGTCAAGAAATCGACTAACCAATCCAATAATATGAGCAATATCCGGTCTGGTATATACCATGCCGTACACGAAGCTCCCAACTGCTGAGGAATAGGGAACTTTGGCCATCTTCTCTTTATCTTCTGTTATTGTAGGACACATCTTCTTACTTAACTTCAAGTGACCAGCAAAAAGGGTGCTAACTAGTTTAGCATATTTCATATCAAAACGCTCTCGAACACGCTCAATATATTTCTCTTGAAATAACTACAACTTTCTCTCCTTCCTGTCCCAAACAATATTCATCCCAAGATTTGTTGTGCAAGACCCAAGTCTTTCATATCAAAAGTCTTGAATAGATCTTTCTTTAGTTTGATTATCTGCTCCTTGTCACGTCCTACAATCAACATATCATCCACATACTACAATAAAATAATAAAATTGTTGTCAGAGAACCTTTTAAAATACACATATGGATCTGAAAGATTCCTTTTGTATGCTTGACTTTTCATGAATGAGTCATACTGTTGTACCACTATCTTGGTGCCTACTTTAATCTATATAGACTCTTGTTCAATTTGCACACCATGTGTTCTTTCCCCTTGACTTCGAATCCTTATAGCTGTTCTATGTAGATTTCTTCTTCCAAATCTCCATGAAGAAATGCAGTTTTAACGTCTAACTGCTCCAATTTGAGATCCTGGCTAACTACTAAGCCTAAAATCATTTGGATAGAAGTCATTTTTACAACCGGTAAAAATATTTCATCAAAGAACAGTTTTTTCATGTTTGATCTCATGGATAGAGCAATATCCTTCAAACTCTCTTGAGGTATATTCTCCACCATTGTCTGATTAGAGATACTTTAACTTTCGGCCTGTCTCCCTTTCCACCATTATATGAAATGATTGAAATACCTGGAATGCCTGGTCTTTGGTTTTCAGCAGATAAATCCATACCTTTCTTAAAGCATCATCAATAAAGTATTGAACTATATGTTTCTGCCCATTAATTCAACCTCCATAGGACCACAAATATCAGAATATACCATATCCAGTATATCTGATTTTCTATCAAAAGATTTTTGAAAAAATATCCTATGTTGCTTGCCCAATAAGCAATGATCACAAGGTTTAAGTGAAGTACCTTTTGCCAAGAAGATAAATGATCTTTTTGCCAAGATCTGCAACCCCTTTTCACTCATGTGTGCCAATCTCTGATGTCATAAGTCTGGGGATTGTTCTCCTTCGACCACATTCACCTTGCCATGACAAATTTCAACATTTGTCTTATATAGCATGTTGGACGCCTTTCCTTTTACAACCACTAGCGATCCCTTTGTGAGTGTCCATATCCCATTTGCGAAGTGATTTGCATATCCTTCACGATCCAGGATAATTCCTGATATTAAATTCATTCGCATATCAGGAACATGTCGGACATCCCTTAGAACAAGTGTGCATCTGACATTTGTCTTGACACGAATATCACCAATTCCCATAATCTTGGAAAAACTGATGTTTCCCATCCTCATTGTACCAAAATCTCTGCTTTGTATGTGTAGAAGAAATCTCTAACTAAAGTGAGATGATAGGATGCAGCTGTATCAACAACCCATTATGAATTAGATGTGAACACCTGCATGCACTCCTCTTCTTCGTTCATGACAAGGGCCATAGAATCATCATTCTGTACTGTACTACTGCGGTTATATTCTTTTCATCACCTTTCTTCTTTTATCCACCTCTTTGCTTTGGTGGGTGTGGACAATTCTTTTTAAGGTGATCTTGTTGGCCACAATTCTAATAGCCTCTATCTCGCGATTTGGACCTTCCTCTGGATTTGGCCATGTCATTTGCCTGGATTTCTTTTTACATTTCTCTCTCTATCCTCAGTGACGAAAGCTTATCCCAAGCTTTCTAGCTTCTTTTTCATCTTCTCATTGAGCAAGATAGCTAACGTGACTTCTCCCAACTCAACAGTGGTTTTGCCATGGAGTATTATCGTTGCCAAATTGTTGCAAAAGGATGGCAACGAATTCAAGAGTAAGATTACTTTATGTTCTTCTTCAATCTTTACTCCAACATTTGCAAGTTACGTGATTAGTCTATTAAATACATTTAAATGAGACAAAAAATTTGTACCTTCTCACATTTGGAGTGCATAGAGTTGTTTTTTCAAGTACAATTTATTTGTCAACGTTTGGGACATGTACAGACTTTTTAACCTTGTCCAAATTTTTTTCGTGCTTGATTCATCGATGACATTGTCGAGAACATCATCTGATAGGTGCAATCTGATTGCATTGGCCGCCTTTTCGTCTATGTCCGTCCAATCTTCACTTTTCATGAACTCTAGCTTTTTTTTCTTCTAGTGCCTTGTGAAAGCCTTGTTGGATTAGCAAATCTTTCATCCTTCTTTACCATGTGGAAAATCCATAATTCCCGTTGAATTTTTGTACATCATATTTTACTCCTGACATTTTTACAAAATTTACTGTGAATAGTGCCTCAGTGTATAATACCGTATGTGTGAATAGTACTATGGTACGTATGAATAGTCACCCTCTACATAAGAAATTTTTTTTTTCTCTCTCTCTTAAACTTTGAGAGTCTCTCTATAGCTCTCTTCTTCCGCTTGTTGGTATGCCTTGAGGATGCCAAGCCATCCCCTATTTATAGGCAGGGGATGACTTGCGTCGCCTATCAATCCGTTACTTGCAATTTCTCAATATTCGATACCTAACTCTTTTACAGCATGTCTTTTTTCAAATTGATATAGCTGTTTTTTATTTAATAATAATAAATGCTGTAATCGGTAAAGATTGGCAAGCCATTCCATTGCCTGCATATGGGGCTAGACCCCACCACAAAGAGAATATATAGGCAGGAGAAGAAAGAGACGACAACACGGCCATGCACGAGGACAAACCAATTCCGTTATGCAGCGGGACTACCATGTGCGATGGAGTGTTCCTCTGCTGCCCGTCTCAAGATCAATCGGGTGGAGTACTCATCCAAGGCCCTGCTTCTTCTCCCTAAGACTACGCCATTTTGCAGCCTTCCAATGAGAAAAAGACTGGCCCTGGCACTTGCATCATAAGCATGTCCACACAGTGCATAGAACCTCGTCAAGTGAGATCCGGAGAAGGGTTTCTTGTTCTGCAACGGGATGGAATTCTTCTCGGTCGTGCCAATTCCTGCTGCTGTTGCCGCTGCCGCTTCTCTGCTTCTGTGGCGCTCTGTTCTCTGACGATGCTCTGATTCTTGCGATACTCTACTTCTTGCTTCGATTCGCTTCGCTCCATTTTCCTTTGCCCTGCAATGCTCTGTCAGACGTTGATTGAAGGTTCCTGACTGGAAGAAGGCCCTGGTTGAGATTGCTGTTCAGATTCTTGGCGAGGATGAAGAAGAGTCCCATTCGATGAAGAGCTGCTGCTAACTTATCGAGAAGAATCCGATTCCCTCAAGAATTCCTGCTAGCTTCGGATTCTCCGTGACAGCGTCTTCCCCGGTTGTCCGCTGAGGAGGAAGAAAAGGAAAATAGGCCGATGCTGCTGAAGCTGTTGAAAGAAGACAAGGCCCAGGTAGCCCACAAACTGGGCCCAATAACCAAGCCCATCTCACAGCCGAAGCCATTGGGCTGTTAAAAGAAGACCAGATCCTCCTGGATTGTAAGAATAATCTATTTTGTCATTATTTGTTACATTATGCGGTGTTGAAAAGAAAAGTATTAATTTAAATCATATAATTAGTAATTTCGATTTGGTGTTAATATATATAGATAATTTTTTCTTATCTATAACATGAAATTGAGATAAAGCATATTTGTAGGCATAAGCTTCTGTTTCCGTTATTTTTTTCCTTTCTGCCTTAAGAGCCAAACATATTTGTGTTTTTTTTGGGTAGTATTCATAATATGAAGATTATATATATATATATATATTGGTTACTAATATGAAGATAAATTATAATAAGGACTGGTACAATCATCCGATTGTGCGTTTCTTTTCAACGCTTAATAATAATGAAGCATTATCTTTCCACATTTTTTAAATATTTATTTGTTTCGCTGTATTCAATCCCACAAGATCCATGTGTAATTGTCAAACAGGCAACAATGTTAATAGGCCGTGGGTTCTATTCTGTGCTTTTCAAAAGCTGAACTTAATGTGGCAAATATGGAAGTCAAAAGTTCTCTGTTCAGCGTCTGCTTCTTCCTCACTTTCTTTCTTTCCACAATCCACTTTGTTCTTGGAGGGTTCAGTGAAGAAGAAGAGATCAGAAGATCACAGTTCCCAGATGGCTTCTTCTTCGGAACAGCAACTTCCGCATATCAAGTATTTCTTGATTTTATAGCTTTACTGAGCTTTTTCTGCCCAAAAAATCTGAAAGCTAACGTATTGTAGCTTCGGGATTTCTAGGCTAGAAGTTTGGACTTACTGTTAAAAAGTCGCGAGTTGAGAATTTGTAATATCTGAGTGGGTTTACTTTTGTATCATCGTGTCAGATTGAAGGTGCATATGTTGAAGATGGCAAGAGCCTCAACAATTGGGATGTGTTCAATCACAGGCAAGGTGAGAAAAATACTAAAAAATAACATCTGGGTCTTTGCATTTTTGTTGCTAAATCCCTCTAGTGATATTTCAATTGCTTGAATTTTCACGAATTCTGCAAATTCTTCCAGGGTTCATATATGGAGATAATGGAGATACTGCTGACGACCACTACCATCTGTACTTGGTAAACTATTTATGCCTATTCTCCATTACTTTTCCTCTAAATGAAAGCCTCTGTACTTCTATCTTACTCTGATTGATACAGGAAGATATTGAGATAATGCGTTCTATGGGTGTAAATGCGTACAGATTCTCAATTTCATGGGCCAGAGTTCTCCCAAGTAAGTTCCATAGATGATCTTTTTCAGTCATTCTAAATCTGTTCTGATTTTAAGATTGATCTTCTGGACCAGGAGGGAGATTTGGGGAAGTCAATCCAGCTGGTATCTCATTCTACAACAAAATATTAGATAATCTCTTGCTGAAAGGTACAATTCAAATCAAGCGGCCTTGTAATCTTGACCCCTGCCGGTGTTGACCCACACTGAATGGAAATTCAATGCAGGAATTGAGCCATTTGTGACGATATGGCATAATGACTATCCTCAAGAACTGCAGGACAGATATGGAGCCTGGCTCAGCCCCCTAATGCAGTATTCCCCCCAATTCTAACCCTTTTGATTTGTTACTCTAATCCTCCGAGACACAATTCCTCAATTTTTGGAGTCATTACAATTGTTCTACTGTTGTAGGGAAGATTTTGTACATTTTGCTGTGACCTGTTTCAAGGCCTTTGGAAACAGAGTGAAGCACTGGATCACAATAAACGAACCAAACTTGTACTCAGACATGGCCTACATAAGGGGAAACTACCCTCCGGCCCGCTGCTCAGAGCCCTTTGGCAACTGCTCAGCTGGCAACTCCGACACCGAGCCCCTCAGGGCTATGCACAACATGCTTCTGGCTCATGCCAAGGCTGTCAAGATCTATCGTCAGCATTTTCAGGTGACTCAGGCTTGTCTGACATTTTCCTAAAACAATGTTGTTTTCAGAAATAGAAAACCTCTTTGGCATGTTGTTTTCAGAAACTGTTTTGAGGAGAATTTGAAGAAAAATGAAATGATGTATGGAAAACAAGTGTTTTCTGCTTTTGAAAATTCAGAGAATGAAAATTGAGAACAATAGGCAGAAAGATACAAATCCAAACCGGTGACCTTTCTTCAATCAGTCATGCATGCTGATGTCATTTAAATGAATACTTAAATTATAAAGATCATGGGGTCATACTGTAATATTCCCTCAATAATGATGCAATTGCAGCCAAAACAAAGAGGAGTCATAGGATTAGTGGTATGTGCTTTCATGTACGAACCTTTCACTGATGATGAGCCTGGTCGGAAAGCGGTCGACCGGGCCTTAGCTTTTAATGTGGCATGGTGAGTGCGTAGATCTCCGATACCCAAATCAGAACGATAGTTGAGACCCTGTATGTCAACTAAAAATGTTACTTTTTACATGAGCAGGGCTTTAGATCCCCTGGTATTCGGAGACTACCCACCGGAAATGCGCCGTTACCTTGGGGATGAGTTGCCCTGTTTCTCAACAGAGGAGAAGAGTTACATAAAAGGCAGTATAGACTACGTTGGCATCAACCATTATGGGACTCTCTATGCCAAGGACTGCCTCCATTCCAGCTGCATCCTGGGCGCAGACCGGCCAATCCGAGGCTATGTATACACTACCGGGGAACGGAATGGTGTTCCAATTGGGGAACGAGTAAGTTAAAATTGTTAATTTCTATTTAATTTGCACCATTTTTATAATTTTGATGATGACTAATTAATTAATTAATTAATGGAAGCAGACAGGGATGTCAAAATTTTTCGTAGTTCCCCGAGGCATGGAGGAGATAGTCGATTATGTGAAGGAGAGATTCAACAAGCCTATATATGTGTTGGAAAATGGCAAGTAGATGCCACAATTCTGTAAGTTATATCAAATAATAAATAGGTTAAGTTCTAAAATTCTTACCCGGGTTAATTTTCTCTGGTGCAAGGATATTCTTCTTTAAGAGAGCCACATGTACAAGTGGAGGAGTTGGTGCAAGATGTCAAGCGAATTGAGTTTCACAAGGCGTACCTCTCATCTCTGGCCACAGCAATCAGGTGACATTTATATTCTTTTACTCCAGCAACATGGACCATGTAGATTTCTAATTACACTCTGAAAGTTTAAGGGTAAATTGTTGGACTATTTTTATCATTAATTATAAATTATATAATTATCTTAAAAGAAAAATAAAATCATAAGATGTAATAGTTGCAAAGTTGAATTTCAGTCATATTTAACTATCTGATCATCTTGATGGGAGATGATTTGTAAATACGATAGGCAGAAAGTCTTTAATTATAACAATTCAAATCACTTGTTGGTGACATAAAATTGCTCATCATTCAGAATCTTTTTTATCAACTAAATTTTTTTTTTCAATTTCAGTAACAACGGTGGGAAAGTTAGATCTTTCCATTGTCTTTTATTTTTTGTATGACATTTGTCTACGTCAGTTTATATAAATTCCATAGATAGTCTTCTAATTATTTGGGATTGTCAATTTGACTGACTCTTAACTTTTTCAATTAAGTACTTGATTAAGGTTGAAAATATTTTAAAAAAATCACAGTATGAATGACTAATCTTGGATTTATTAGGAATGGTGCGGATGTTCGAGGATATTTTGTGTGGTCACTGATGGACAACTACGAATGGGTGGCGGGATATGGCATCAGATTTGGGCTTTATTACATTGATCGTCAGTCTCTTGAGAGGATTCCTAAAATTTCTGCTCGGTGGTACAAGAGCTTTCTCACCAGTTGCAACAACCACAGCGACGAAGTGAAGGGGACAACTTCATTTAGAGCCAGAAATGTTAAAGTCCCTGTATTAAAAACTGAACAAGCAGCTATGTAATTGTATCGCAGAACTGCATGTGCATGATTTGTTACTTGATTACAAAGAGTGGAAGGTGAGGGATTAAAATGAAAATCCACAAATAAAAATGATCTAAAGAGCAATTTGATGCAATTAAATGCTAACAATTTTTAATAAAAATGCTCTTTTTTTCTTTTTAAATATTTTTATTAATGAAGACAATGTCATTATGTAGGCCTAGGAATAAGTTGAATTAACTAGAACTGTCAATAGATTGAATTTAATCCGAAAAGTGTATGTGTGACTGACGTTAGAGTTAAAATAAATTTCAACTCCGCAAACTTCACGTATAACTCAACATATAACTAAACGAAAATTTTATATAAAATTAAAAACATAATTTAATCTAAATTGTCAATAAATCCACAAGAACTTATCTATAATCAAATAAAACGATCTATAGAATCCAGCAATACAAATTTAATAGAACTGAAATAACTAACTTTTCCAACTAAGAACGAAAGTAATAAAAATAAAAGACTCCTCTTAAGTAATAGAATCCAACCGAATACCGAACTCTGAATCTGGAAAAATAAAGAAATGAGTCGACAAACCTGGTGAATAATAACATATATTTATGAAAATAAGAAACATGTATAACATGTAAATTAGAAAACTTTACAGTATAACTAATTATATATAGATGTCAAAAACTTTACAATATAACAAATCATTTGCAAATATCAGAAACTTTAGAGAACTCATAACTTAGAATGGAATATATATTAGAAATTAGGACAATGACTCACAGTCTATCGGATAACGAAACGGCTACACTCAATTTGCCAAATAATAGAACGGCGACACTCAGTTTACTAGATAACATATATCAAAAGGTGGCATGCTTATATGCCTATATACACATATACACATATACGTATACAAATATACATATATACATGTATACATATACATGTCGAACTCAACACGAGAGTTTAGCACCTCCCCCTACTAGACGGGGATCTTATATAAAGTGCATTCAATCTAATACATATTGCCATTAGTTACCGTTTTCTAGAATCTGAAACTCTTTTAAAAATATTTTTTCAGAAATAAACAGAAACCCAATAACAAAATTTTTCAGAATCAAACAGAAATAGTTTAACATAATTTTTCCATGTACAAAGTCAAACATAATTAACAGATATTCTTTTTCAAATAAATTTTAAAAATTTCATACATGTCCCTTGTTTCACTTTTATAACAGAATTTAATCAAATTTTAAGAAATCAAATATTTCATATAAAATAAAAATTTATAAAAAATTATGAAAAATAGTAAATACTCATAAAATGCACATTATTACTCACAGAACTGATAGAAATCGAGTGATCAAATCTTTTGCGATATATGAGCTTAACCAAAACCATGTAGAAAATCTAAACAATTAAATGTCTTATTTCAATTTGCTAATACATATAAAAATAAAATATATTAGTCTCAAAGTTTTGTATTTATTTTGATAATAATAAAATAAATTAAAATTATTATATATATATATAATGGACAATATGGACAAATTATTAAGTTTATTATTTAACTACATACACTACATGCACTAAATTGTGAAATTGTCAAATTAAACATGTGTGTAATAAATTAATTATATTTTACTATAGAAAAGTTAAAAAATAATAAAGTCAATTTTATATGAAACTATACTCAAATACCTTTATTTTGATGTATAATTTATCTCATATACTCTTCTATAACAAAGCAGTTTTTTATATCAATTTCATATATTGTCATATGAAAAAGTCAATGTTCAAATCTGCGTGATATTAGTTTTAATTAGTAAAATATAACTTATGATATAAATAAAATTCTGAAATAATTTTATTTGTAAAATAGACATGCTGAGCTTTAAATTCATATATTATATGTACGTTTTACACTTATAGATTGAAAGATATAATTTTTCAAAATGGGTCATTCTGCTGAGTTACACTATTAGCAGGTAAAATGAGTATATTACAGTATTTTTATCATATCTCAAAATATAAAAGCCAAATTTATACAAATCTAATTTTGAATGAAAGCAGACGTTATAAACTTTTCAAAAATATATAATTTGTTATTTTTTAATACAAATTCAAATTTTTAGACAATTTTGAACTTGGCTAACAACTTTTGTTAAAAGTAATTTTACAATCTAATATGTTGTTGAACTTTTGATTATTTCTCTCAAACGGCATATGATAATTTAATGATTCTTCTTTTATTTGAAAATGGACTCATTGAGGAGTATTCAATAATTTTAAAGATTTTTTGAACATTCGGAGCTATTTTATTTGAATTTTTAAAATAAGCTAATGTGCAGTTACTGTTGACAAATAATTTTGTCTTTCATAAAGGCCAACATCTCTCCAACCTCATTTTGGTGTTTTTTCCTATAAAAGGAGCATAGATTGAAGGGAGAAGAACACAACAATAAGCTCTCAAAGTCTCATCAATCTCTCTTTAAAATTCTTGATGTTACATTGTTTATTACTAGATTAAAGAGTACATAGAGCAAATTATTTTATTCTTGAGAGTGCCTATTTGAAGTGAGATTATTTTTGTGCATGAGTGATAGCTAATCCTACGTAAGAGGAATTGTTACACTTCTACTTCAACTTCATTACTATTTGTATTAGTGTTTAAAGCCCACCGAATCAAAGGTTTTGTAATCGCGATTTCTTGCCTCCGCCAAATGTAAGGAACTTTGTTTGTACTCGGGATTTCTTGCCTCTGTCAAGTGCAAGAGACTTAGTAGAACCTCAGTCTGTTGGAGCTCGAAAGAGTGGACGTAGACTTGGGTAGCAAGTCGAACCACTATAAAAGAGTTTGCATCTCCTATCCCTACTCTCTTTACTTTATTTAAAATTCTTTTATATTTATTGTTGGTGAATTGTATAAGTTTATTTGATTTAATATTTTTATTATTATTTTAAATTTTCACACTCCTAACTTTTGTAATAAAAACCCAATTCACCCTCTTCTTAGGTTGCCTTTTGGGACAACAAAATAAACATAATTTCCTTGATTAAAATCCAAGTGAATCTTTGCATTTTCCTGCTTGAAACCTATATTGAGCTATTAAAACCTTGAACTGATCAAATAAGCCATGAACCGAGCCTTAAAGTCTTGAACCGGACTTATAAAGTATATAACCAGTTTATTTAACCTATAAATTAATCATTAAAGCACTAAACCAACCTTGAATCGACCATTAGAGTGTTGAACTGACCATTAGTTAGCCTCTAGTACACTAAATCGGCATTGAACTAGTCTCTAATGTAGTGAACTGTCCCTGAATTGGCCATTAATATGGTGAACCATCCTCGAACCAACCTTTAATATGCTAAATCAGCCATAAACCACATTGAACCGGCCAAATATCATACTGAACTAGCCATATTTACACTGAATCGGATATATTATGCATTGAACCACCCCTTTATATGCTAAACCAACCGATTTACACATAAAATAGTCTAAAATTCCCTGAACAGGGCCTAAAATATTTGCATTTTTTCTAAACCGGTATTAAACCGGTTGATTTAAGTATTTATCTAATTTATTTAGCCCTGAACCGGTCATCATCCACTTGAATTGGCTATTTTTCTTTATATTTTCTCTATTTATTGTTTTATTAATTTTTAATCCGAACCCAGATTCTAGATCCAGTTTTGACAGCCCAACTCAACAACTACCCGACTCAATCCCTTTTTCTTTCTATGGCCTAGCCCACATTTGGCCCTGCCCAAAACTAACTTGCCTAGCATATATTTTCCAAGCCCAAATTCAATTATTTGGCCTAAAGCACCCCCCCAACCTAGCTTTTTAAGCTAGTCTATGTGCAAACCTAGATCCTTCTAAGTCTGTTCTTCCCACCCGTACATCCCAAAACCAGAAATCATGAATTTACCTAGAATTATCCTTTTGATCTTGAAATCAAAACTCCAGGATGATGATCAAAATGGGTCAACGACTAGCCGGCAC